AAGAAAACCCTCCTAAAATTCATTTGGAAACAGAAGAAACCTAGAATAGCAAAGGCAATTCTGGGCAATAAAGGCAAGACAGGAGACATCTCAATTCCTGTCTTGAAACTATACTACCAAGCCACAGTTATAAAATCAGCATGGTACTGGCAAAGAAATAGACCTGAGGATCAATAGAACAGATTAAAAGATGCAAACACAACTACAAAGACTTAGCCACCTTATACTTGACAAAGGGACTAAACATGTTCACTGGAAGGATAACCTCTTTAATAAAGTGTTGGAAAAATTGGCTCTCCACATGCTGAAGACTCAAACTAGCCCCATGCCTATCATCATGTACTAAACTAAACTCAAAATGGATCAAATATCTAAATATTAAAACAGAAACACTAAATCTCCAACCTAAGACAAGGTAGGTAGAAGTCTTGGAGACATAGGGGTAGGCAGAGAATTCATGAACAAAAAACCAAGCACATGGGAAACACAAAGAATCAACAATTTGGACCTTATATTATTATTATTAAAAAGTTTTTGCACTTCAAAAAATCACCAACACAGTGAAAAGAAACCCGCAGAATGGGGAAAAATTTTAACCAGCAACCCTCAAAAGACTTATGTCTAGAACATATAAAGAGTTGAAAAACATCACACACACACACCCCAAATTCAAAGACCCTCTCCAAAAATGGGCATCTGAGATGAACACACATTTCTCAGATGAAGATATACAAATGGCAAATAAATACATGAAGAAATGGTCAGTAGAGAAATGCAAATTAAAACAGCATTGAGATTTCATCTCAGTCCAGAAAGAATAGCAGCCTTGAAGAAATCAACTGACAACAAATGTTGGCAAAGCTGAGGGGAAAAAGGAACACTGCTCCACTGTTGGTGGGAGTGTAGACTGGTGCAGCCAATATGGAAATCACTATGGAGATTTCTCAAAAGAGTAGGATTGGAAGTTCCATTCAATTCAGCTATTCCTTGCCTGGGTATTTTCCCAGAAAAACTGAAAAAGTTACATCACAGTGATATATGTGCACCCATGTTCATAGCAGCACAATTTATAATAACTCAATCTTGGAAACAACCAAAATGCCCATCAACCACAGAATGAATGAAAAAGATGTGGTATTTTTATACTATGGAATATTACTCAGCTATAAAAAAGGATGAGCTTGCGGCCTTCCTAGGTAAATGGAGGCAACTTGAAACTATCCTCATAAGTGAAATAAGAATCATATTTATAGATATTATATTGTGACTCTAGTGTAAAAAGTAATAAGAACTGTGGAAGTAATAAAACACAAAATTTCTAATTGCTATTGTAAAAAAGAAAGGGAAAGAAAGTGCTCTAAAGAATATAGCTGCATGCATGTTAAAGTGCGTAAGATAGATGACATATTACTAAGTTTTTGTTAGATCATTGGACAGAACTGTTTGTACACTGTTTGAATGTCTACTTTTTATGCTTTAATTTGTAATTTGAACAACTATTTCTAAGATGACATATATAATTTATCAACTAGTGATTTCTAGTGTTTATTTTTGAATTGTATTATTTCTATTGTTTTTTGTCTTACTTTTCTTTCTCTTTAAATAAAATTAAAAAAGAAAAAAAAATTCTAACCTCATACAGAAAAAAAGAATAGTTTCCAGATCAGTTTATGATTGTGATCAGTGTCACAACAATCACACGTCTCAACATCTTAAATCAATTTAAAGTTAAGATGCACTGTGACTCATGGTTTCAGTGGTTTCATTCCATGGCTATGTGGGGCTACGGCGGCAAGATAACACAGTGGGGGTACACTCTGGAGGAGTCTGTTCACCACAGGTGCAAAGAGCGAAAGCAACAAAGAAACAGAAGCAAACAGGATTTCCATGTTACCTTACGAAGCACAACCACAGTGACCTCACTTTCTTTAGCCAGGCACCACCTTTTAGAAGGTATACCACATAATTACAGCATCCCAGGCTGGCTACCAGGCTCTAGATATAGGCCTTTGGGGGACATTCAAGATCAAATGTGACAATCAAAAAAAGGATAATAAAAAAGGAAGTTTCAGGCCAAGTTCACTCATAAACATAGACACAAAAACAACAGTTTGCATATTAACAACAGAAGTCAAGTATGCATTAAAATTATACTACATCATGACAAACACCCCAGGCCAAATGCAGTGTTTAATATTAGAAATCAATTTACCCTACTGACAGTTAAAGGACCAACTCTACAAAATCCTCTATAAATGCAGAAAAGGCATCTTAGGGGCTGGGGATTTAGCTCAGCGGCATAAGCACCTGCCTTGCAAGCAGGCGGTCATGAGTTTGATCCCTGGTACCGATAAAAAGTTTAAAAAAAAGAAAAAAGGCATCTTAATTAGATTTCACATCAACTTATGGTTGAAACATAATCAAAATGCTTTGGCAATCTAATAAACAAAAGTGTCGTGGCATCAAAGTAAACAAAAATATCTCAGCAATCTAGAAATAGAAAACAACTTTAACATGATTAAAAAGGAGGGAAGAGAGAGGGGAAGAAGATGTAAAAAAGGGGGAAAAATATGTCATGTATCTGTACGAACTACCATGACGTGGCGCAAGATGATGGCTGCAGTTATATCTATTCAGTATCATATTGAAGGCTTCCAGCGCCAGGAGACATAGGCAGGTGGGGGCAGATGTATAAGCATTGGAAGCACTTCAGTAATCAGCTGGCTTCACAGGATAATGAACAACTGTTGTGACAGAGGGAGAAGAGGAGGGGAGGCAGTGCAGTGTGAGGAGGGGTGGGGCAAGAGAAGAGGAGAGGGAAGGGAGTGGAGGGGCAGGAGCATAGAGGGGAGAAGAAGGAAGGGCTGGGGAGAAGAGGGGAGGGGATACGGGAGGGAAGGGGAAAGGAGAGGAGAGAGGAGAAGAGAGGAGAGGAGAGAAGGAGAAGAGAGGGGAGGGGAGGGGAGCATAGAAGGGAGAAGAAGGAAAGGCTGCGGTGAGGAGGGGAGGGGAGAATGGTTTAAGGATTGAACACTATACTGCATCTACCAGTTCATTATAAATTACCCTATAATTAAGTGACCTAAAACAACATCTTTATCTTATTTTATGCTTTAGGAATCCAGGAAGAGCTGAGCTGACTCCTCTGGCTCAGAGTTTTACAAAAGGTTGCGATCAAAATGTGAACTATGATTGGGGTTACCTCAAAGCTCAACCAGTGACCACTTTCAAGGTCACTCACACAGCTGCTGGCGGGCAGCATAGTATCATCTACCACAAGTCAGAGATATTAGTTCCTTGCTGTTGGTCTTGCCACAGAGCAACTCACATCACAGACGGCTTCCCTCAGAGCAAGTCAGAAGACAAGCAAGAAGGGAAGCCAGGGTCTCTTTGGAACCTAATACCACAATCAGTATTCCATCACTTTTGTCATATTTTGTTTCGTACAAGTGTCTCACTGGGCCCAGTCCACACTCAAGGTAAAAGGATTACACAGGGCATCATTACCTGGAAGGAGAACCAATGGGAACTTTCAGATGCTATCTACCATGGAAAGGAAAAACAAAAATTGTCATTATTTAAGGACATACATCAAATGTAGGGGGGGAGCATATTAAATGTTTAGAACTAACAGGAAAGTCTAACAATGTTACTGGACACAAAGTCAAAATTGGTTTCATAGTATATACAAGCAACAAACAAATTTTAAACAACATTTACAATAGGAACAAGTATCAGGCCATTTATCCACTGAATCATAGCTGCTGAAGCTGGAAGATGTGTGTATATATAGAGAGGAATGAAAGCGTTAATAGTAATGTTTTTTAAAAGTATAAAACACTTAGGAATAAGTATAACATAATATTTATAAACCTTTTCAGAGAAATTTAGTTTTTATCACTGTAAACTATCTACATAAACTGATAGGCTTAATACTGTAAAGGTAGCAATTCTTTTCCAAATTGATTTATTGAATCAGCGCAACCCAAATCAAAAAAATCGCAAAAGGATGTGTGTGTGTGTGTGAGACAAGCTACACACACACACACACACACATACACACACACACACAAGTTGCACAAAAGTAAAAAAAGTTCACATGGAAAAGTGTTCACCCATATTAATAAAACTAAAGTAAAATCATAATCAGACACCATCACATAAAAACACATGGACAAAACTTCAAACTGGTAATAGCAAGTTTTGATGAGGATGTTAAACAAAAGAAACTCCTGCACTGATAATGGAAGTATTAATAGGTGCAATTATTTTGGGAAATTGCTGTCACCTATAATCAGTTTTACACTGGAGGGGTGACTGCTTTTGACCTTCTTATGACATACGTTTTTCTAAAAAGTAATAGCAAAAAATGAAAAGAATGAAAGAAAATATCTTCCTTTATTATTCTTTCAAAGATGTAGCCATGGGAGAGAAAAATTCTGGAAAACAAACCCTACCCTGAGGGCAAAGAGGAACAAAAAGTACACTTGTTCTCCAAACAGAATGCCAAAATCTAAGAATAAATCCTCAAACAGTAAAAATCATCATTTCATTACTTATTTGGAATTGAGAGGGATGCTCAAACTAATAGGAATACTTCAATCCATTTTTAAGTACAGTGAGCAAAATCTGGCACTTGTAGAGGGCATTCGGCTACAGCAGGGGCAGATCTGCAGTGCAAGAAAACTCAGCGCAGAGAGCACCATAATCAGTTTGTGGGTGTTGCAAAACTGCTCTCAAAAGAAGCCTCCCAGGTACCCCATAAACTCAGAAGAAGCCTCCCAGCTCCTCCATAACCCAACTGCTTCACTATCTTGCAAAAGGACAAACCAAAGAAAATACCTAATAAAGTGCTTTTACTTTAAGCCTATACAAGGTCTAAAATCTCACCTCTTATTTTCTTACAGAAGTAAACGGCGGATGTGAGAATAATGGCAAAGTCATTCGAAAATGCTTCTAACCGATCTAAATAAATACGAAGAAAAGCAAAACACTAGGTATGGTATGTAAAAAAATATATAAACCATTTATTTACATTTTATTTACTTTCAAAGGATGAAGAAGCTGAAAAATATTTGTGAAAGTAGTCTCATTTTACTTAATTTATAATTTTTTCACAAAAACAACAAATATTTAACTTACAATTACAAGTCTCAAGAGACCCAAAGAATCTATCCAGTTCAATCTTCCATCTTTAGCTGAAACTGAAATTGTAGATAGTTGAAAATCTACTCACAGATAAATGTTAACTATTATATACAAGAATCAACTTCAGTAAAATTTGTCCATAGCATCTAACAAATCTGCAACAAAAAGACAATCACCACAATACAGGACGTTCAGAGTCTTTTACGCAAAACTGAAAAATGGAATTTACACAGGAGAAATCACAACTGGCTACTAAGTCAATAGCATCACAGTTTACAGAACCCAGTGTCTTTCTTATTTAAGTACTTATTAGACTATTCTTAAGACTTGGATTTAAAACAAAGACATCAGTAACTAGGATACATACATAACTGTTTTATAAACACATGAGAAACAACAAACAAAAACATTTTTTAAAAATATTTTATACCTTTAGATTTTTTTAACAATTCAAACTGTTAACTCAATTTATTACTGATCTGTACAACTTTAAATATCACAGTCTTACAAAAATACTGACAATGGCTCAATATTTTAAAAAGTGAGATCGTCTGTATCTATGTTACAGTAGTCCGTATTTTATGCTTTTTTTTCTTCTACCACTATTCACTCAAAGCAACAATCATCACAGAAGTCTCTAAACTCTGTCGCCATACAAGCCTCACATCCGAAAACTCCGAGTTCTTTGAAATGGCTGGAAAGGGTTTTTCAGTGCCCATGTGAACAGCTGTGGTTTGGGTTTGGGTTTTTCAGCAAACAGAAGTGCTTCACTTCCTGGGGTAGGAAATCGTTCTTGGTAGACTTCAGGATACGATTTCTGAAACTAAGAGATCCAACAAAAGTCAAAAAGACATTTAAGAGTCAAGAAAATGGGGGAGGGGGTTGTGCTAAATTTTGTTTGTTTCTTTCTTTCTTTGTTTATAGTAGTAGAGATTGAATTAAAGGCCTTGCACTAAGCTACAGTCCCAGCCCAGTTTTGATTTTTTAGTTTGAGATAGGATTCTGCTAAGCTACTAAACTACCCATGTTGAGCTTGAACTTGTGATCCTCAGCTCCCAAGGTGCTAGGATTGCAGGTATACAGTGTAACACAACACCCAGGTAGGTCAGTCAAATTTTAATATAAGAGTTGATAATCCCATACTTCCGTCTTTGATTATTCTTGCCAAAACATTTGATTCCAATGTCTACAGATCCAATTTATCTTTCATTTAATCTAACGTTTAAGTAAAGTCCTTTTAAAAATCATATTTCTTAAAATTATCCCTGATGCTAACTATATTCACAAGTAACTCTGATGTAAAACATGTTCTATATAGTTAAAGAAAACTTTGAACCAAATATGTTTTATCATCCCCCTGATTCTCCAAATCAGTCTTGCTAACTTCTGCCCAAATAGAAGAGAGAATGCTCTGATATATTGTTTTATAGAAAGCTAAGGAGGCAATATATTCTTCCTTTGAACTTTACCAATGAACTCTTTCCCAAAATTATTGAAAGAAAAACATGAAGTCTAGAACATTAGTGCTATATGTATAATCCTATGTATGCCTAAATCATGGGACACAAAAATTTAAGAATACCTGAGGACAAGAGACCAATTTGACACTAGCTATCCAGCACCAATGGTTTTTAAACTCTAGACTCTTTTTATATTTTATGAATTCAATCTAATTTAACTTTTTTAAAAATCAAAAGCAATCTGCCCTCACTGCTTGCTTCTTTGAAGGAATTGCTCTGCTGATTTACTTCATGTTACATATTAAAATGAAGTACAAATATTAGAGAGTGGCTCTATAACAAGGGCTTGATGATGACAAAAAAACGACACTGGAAGATGGAGATCTTGGAAACTGCCCAGAATTATGTAAATCAAAGCTTCTGGAATATAGGGACTGAATAGTACACTTTCTAAACTTCTGCGTCTCAGAATTTAAAAACTATATGGAATGTATTAAAATAGAAAATAAAAAGAAGATATAACATAAGAACAATAGAGAGGAGGGTAAATGATTTATGAAGAATTTTTTTATTACCTGCTTCAATTTTTTCTTCTTTTCTTTATTAGAGAGTTTGGTATCTGTTATAACTTCCTCCAACAAGGCCGCCAGAGCCTCCTGAGAGCCATGTGTTCTTTGGTATTCAAATTCCTCAGGACTAATTTGACGGCAAAATGAAGGGGCAGATAAAGTGATATCCATATCAGCTCCTGGGTATTTTATCTGTGAATGAAGGACAAACATTGTTTTAGATCGAATATGCTGTGTCTCCTAGTCAGAACAGCATTCCTCAATTTGACGGTAAAAGCTATATTGAAAAGCAAAAGAGTTTCCACAATCTCTAAGGAATACCATGTCAAACTAGTTTTAAATATGATATTTCTATCTTCTTAACCAAGATAAGCCAACAAACAAAAAATTGTATGCCTCTTTAAAGATCTGAAATATACACATAAACTTATTGGTATAGAAAAATAAAGTTCAAAACAGGTACAGTGTTGAATCTTATAATATGAATCACACATCTGCAGAGTCTGATTCTCCCTCCTCGGCAGGGACAGACACAGGCTCAGGTCTATGTGCACAGTTACGCACAGGTACCCCTGTGATACGTGTTCCTAGTGAGAATCAAGGGAAAAGAAAAAATAACGGTGTGCCAAACTGCACTGGTAAAAAGCAAGAGGTGGAAGAAGAAAGAAACAGGAAACGAAGGTCTGTGAATAAAATAACATTCCTTAAAAATACTTCATTTCAATCTGAGGATGGTAGCACATGCCTGGAATCTCAGAATTGGGAGGCTGAGGAAGAAGGGCTGAGAATTGAGGCCAGACCAGATTACATGTCAAATAAAAATTACTTAATTTCAGAGTCCAGCATTTTTCTCAAAAACACAGCGCCTTATTGCGCTACAGTGGGTAAAATTCCCTCTTCTGCACTTCCTACTTTGGTTTAAGATCCCTCATCACAGGAGCTACAGGTAAAAAATAATTCTGCTGTCAAGAGAGGAGATTACATGAAGCACATTCTATGCTCAATGTCATTCTCATCAGATCAATTAAAGATGATTTAAAGAGAGACAGATCCGAATCACAGGGAAAGAGGCCTACTGGCACCTTCTTTTGTCTTGAAGAAAGGCATCAAAAACTGAAAAGGGCCTAGATAAAGAGTGAGGTCTAGGTAGGGTACAACAGCCAGAAGCTAGCCAAAAGCTAGGGGCATGAGAAAAACACCAGACACACGGATTTGAAGGGCATAGGAACAGGGTTGCAGACAAAGTCATTAGAAAGCTAGACTCAAAAAATATTGCCTACTTCACAAATTACCCCAGGGTCAGCTCTGAAAGTGCCCCCAAACCATTTTTGCGGTAATCCATGTGACGTCACATTTTCAGACAAGCACCATTCAGCTGTGATACCGTGTGGGGCTCAGGAGCCTCATCACAAGAATACATATCTTTAGGCTCTGAGAGCTAAAATGAACAATTGCTCAGCTATTCTTCTGAGTATTTCTAAAAGAGAAAAGGTAATGGGACAATTGAGAAGTTACCAATTTTATTCAGTGCGCACTGCAGTGCCTCTTCACACATCATGTTCATCTGCAGTTAAATTAATCATTCTGGCTCAGCCTCCTAGTCCTCAAGTGATAGCAAAGGGCTCACAGGGTCCTGCCGCAGCACTGCACACCCGAGCGGTGTGCGCGACTGCACAAACCTAACAGACAGCAACACTGCTGAAATGATTCTTCATGAAAACCCAATGGAAAGTTTCTTTTCAATTTTACTTTTTTTGTGTGTCTTTTTGAGACAAGGTCTCACTACGCAGTTCAGGCTGGCCTTGATTCACTTTTGTAGCCCAGGCTAGTCTCAAACTCACAACGATCCTCCTGCCTCAGCCTCCCGAGTGCTGGGATTACAGGGGTGAGCCACCATGCCCAGCTTCAATTTTACTTTTCAAAAGTTTGGCTCAGAAAAAAATCAGGGGGAAAACTATTAAAATAAAGTGTAAGGCTGAGATATGAGTATATTTTAATAATTTTCAAAGTAGGAAAAGGTGAAAGGAAATGAATATCCACTTTCTTATAAAACTGACCCAAATGTAAAGTGAAACAATCAGATTAAAAGAAAGTTTGGCAATATACCATCCATACTTCAATGTCAACCAGAGGGTATCACTCGGATAAGTTGTGCTATGCCTCTATTACGGAATACTATGTTGTCACTAATGACATTAATGATACAAAAATATTAGCAATGGCAGCATCTACTTTATGTATACTAAGCCATCTGAACTCCTTGATGATCCTATGGAGTAACTCTGCTATAATTCCCATTTTGCAGAGGAGGAAAGTTTGGGGCAGATGTTGAAGCAGAGTGGCATTGTATAACATGCCTAAGGTCAAACAGCTAATAAAGGGCATACCATAAATGCAAACACCTTTTAGCTACATGGTCTCTGCTCTTATCAATGTCATGTCAACCAGGAATATTTGAAGATGTGGGAAATTTTTTTCACGTATGGTTAAACAAGAGAAGTTGCAAGAAACAGAGGAGGGGAGAGAAAAGGAGGAAGGGAAAAGGAAAGAAGGGAAAGAGGAGGGAAAGAAAAAAATTCTTAATGAATGGATGATAATACTATGAACATTTTGATGTAACTCAGATATTGAAGCGTGTATAGTCTACATTTTATGAATTCCATCAATTTACTAGATTGGTAGTCACATAGCACTGATCAACATAACAAAGTATTCATTCCATAAGATTTTCTATGATTACAGCACACACCTGTAGTTCTGTGTGCCAACAGCTGTTACATGCACTTGGTACATAATTAACCCGATCCTCATAACAGAAAGTCCCCCAAAGCCTAGTAAGCTTACATAACTTTACACTGTCAATTTACGGGACTGATAATATCTCTTCCATTACCTGGACTCTTCGTAGGTGAGCCACACGCTCTTCTATAGAAGTCTGCAAGGCCAGAGGAACTTTCAGAATTTCCTGGCAATTGTCCATCAAAAATGTCACTAACCTAGCAGCTAATAACTCATCCAAGTCTACTTCATCCTTGGAACACAAGATGCAATGGGAAAATGTCTGAACCATCTAAAAAAAGGCAAAGAGGTAAATACAGATTAAGTTGGGTTTCTTTGTTTTAGTTTGTTTTTTCCCCCTTCTGAACTGGATCCAATCTAATTTGTAAAAAGTAAAAGTCAATAGTCAGCGAGAAATGGCCTAAATTGCAGGGTGCATATCTTCCCAGGTAACTGGTAATCTTAGATAGACTGATGGTCTCAAGACCCGTAAGAAGGAAATGTCTACCTCTTGGTTAAGATACGTAATAGAAAGATGTTTTTCTTAGGAACTTATTAACTTCCGTTTTTACGTAAGAGGGAATTTAAACACATACACACCAATCCTGAAAATCTATCACCAGGACTTGGGTCATGCTATACTCCTACCCCCACCTCTATGGCAGTATTGGGGATGGAGCTCAGAGGCTTCACATGAATCTATATCCCCAGCCTTGATGTGTTTGTTGTTGTTCTTGTTGCTGTTTTGGATTTTGTGTGTGTGTGTGTGTGTGTGTGTGTGTGGTGTTTTTTGTTTGTTTGTTTTTAAGACAGAGTCTTGTAAGCTGCTTAGGCTTGGCTCTTGCCTCAGCTCCTAGGATGCTACAATTACAGGAGAGCAACACCACACACCTTCATGGAGCACTGTTACATTTAATTTACTTTACAGATATTTGGTCATATAATATCCTAATTTCATTATTATTTTTTTTAAACCTGGTAACAGTCTACGTGTCTCAACTGTTACATCTTTTCCTAGTTAACCATTTTCTGCAGGATTTGGGATATATATTTCACAAGCATCTTTAAACAAAGCATTGGACTTTACAAGAAGTGCATTAAGTGACTGGGTTCCCTTTACAGTAACCAGAAATATGGAATATATAATTAACATAATTTCCATAGAATTCATATTAACCAAGCCATTCTTTATATATCCTCTAGACAGACTTCTTTCTCTTTTTTCAAATTTTATTGCTGACAATCTAACTTCAAAAATTGCAAGCATGAAATCATGTAATTTTGCTTAATAAGACATACTACCTTTTAGTTCTAAAATATCCCCTACAGTCACATAGGCTCAGAAGTGGACTCTCTGAAAGGTGAAGTCGTGGGGGCTGTATGCTCATCTATGGAACTGTCAGCCCATCAAGTACCTGGCTGAAAGACCATCAGGAAATGGGACCAGATGGAGGAGGTAGGCCGCTGGGGTGTGGCACTGGCAGACATATCTCTTACTCAGATGCTCCCCTCTCTCTCTGAGTCCAGTTGCCATGGATTGAGCAGCTTTCTTCTGCTAAGTCCTTCTGTCACGCCATGCCACAGGGCCATGGTGTCAGGTATGCTGTCACAGCGCCAGGAAGGCTGACTAACACAACTGAATTCTATCAGCACACTGCAAATACTTTCATCTTCACTCACACTTACACATACAAAGAGACAGACAGGCAGAGAATTTTATGTGTAAAAACCATGAATCTTAAGGGATCTGTGAATAACCTGAAGTTGTAATCAGACACTTGCACACGTATGCCCATGGGAAACAGGTGCGATTTTTTTTTCAACTGCTCAAAAGGCGCATTAGCTCCACGCCCATGCACACCCAAAAGAGGTAAAAATCACTCCTCTGAGCATGAAGTGTTCCCCAGATCTCAGTAAGGGTTCTCCAAGGCTCAGCCAGGGGACCCCCTAGTTGTGCCAGTGGTTTATGAGGGCATGGAAAAGACACAGATTCACCGAAGCACCTATTTTGCTCCAAGGCTTTTTTCTGAGGAAAATAAAGAGATTTAGCATGTAAATTCTAAACATAAATTATTTCAAAACACATGCAGATTAAAAGTAGAATCTAACAGGACTTACTCCTGGCTAGTAAGGGGAAATGGAGAAAGGAGAGCTGCTGATCAAAGGATAGAAAGTGCATCTCACCACAAAACTAGATGTGGTAGTGGACATGTTGCTTAGCTTGATTTAATCTTTAGACAATGAATTCCAAAACATCACACTGTATCCCCTAAAGCATACAACAGTTTGTCAACGAAAACAATAATAAAAAATATAAGTCAGTATGAATAAAATCATATGCTGATATCACAAAGTACAATTCAAAAATTGTCAGGTGTTTTTAATCAAACCCACAAAATATCATATTTCAATGAACTTAGACCACACCAAGAGATGCATGTCCTCTCTCCACCCTAGTTGTCTAATCCAATTGTGTATTTTACTTCTTCCCTTTTTAAACCATTGTATACACTGCATCTCTTCTTGCTGGCTATAAAATCTTTACAATGCTTTCTGTGTGGAGTGGAAAAGACTTTGTTCTTGATAGATCACTTTCCTTTCTGTTCACTCTTCATTCTATTGTTATTGACAGTAGTGATGAGCCTACAAAGTGCTAAGGCAGGAGGCAACAGGTATTTTCACACTCACAGTCATTCTTACCCCCTCTTTCGTTTCCATTATGTTCTTTAAGACCTTGAGGCCAGAAGCATATTACTAGTCCAGCTGGAGAGCTGGATGTAACTCTTCACGCCAGCCTGTCTTGCCCCTTCCTCTGATCCATAAACAAGTACACTTGACTCAGTTGACTTTCATTCGAAAAATTCAGGTCACAGTAGATGTTTACAATCAACCTACCAGAGTCCGAGTGCCAAAACCATCGCACAGTGGTGGCATTTCTTTATTTAAGCAGATCCTTGCCATCATTCTCATTAGGAGCTGTAACTTTCTCCTATTCTCAGGAGGCAGAAGGAGGCAACAAATCTGAAATGCTTCAACTGCCATTGTCTCTTTCTGTAACAAACCTGATTCAAAAAAGAAGTTTCATCTTTTAACACCTATAGTCTACCAGACTGTATGTTCATATTTTTAGGAAACGCATATTCCCAAAACAATGTACAACATTTTCACATATTCAACTATACCTTGCCAGTTGACTATACATCCACAAATGCAACCACTTGACCCTCCCAGACACTATACAGATAGAATTAAATATTCAAGGCACTTTCCCACACACCTCGTCCTCAACAGTCACACTGTTAAGGTCCAAGGTCACAGGAGCAAGAACATGGTCCACCAAGGCTGCCCTGCAGGCTTGTGGGTACTCTTTCTCCATGACCAGCAGGTTCACCAGCTCACATGAATCTCACAGATTAAATAAAACAATGAGGCGAATGCTCCCAAAGTGGCTTTGCTTCTTTCTGATAACACTGCACAAATAATGCTTTCTCCGTATTCACTGTTTTGCAGTTAAATGTAATACAATTCAAACATTCATCCCCCATTCATATGCCAATAATCCTCACTTTAAATTTGATTTTGTTAAAAACTTGGGCTATTTAGAGCCAGGGATGGTGGCTCACACCCTGGAATCCCTCTAGGAGACTGAGCGAGGAGGTTCACAAGTTTGAGCCCAGCCTGGGCAAATCAGTGAGACCTTGCTCAAAGATAAAGAAAGGACTGGGAATGTAATACAGTGGGAGGGCCCTAGGTTTAATATCCAGTACTTCAAAAAAAAAAAAAAATGGTATTTTAAAACTGACTTCTTTTAAACCATATTTGTCCTTGAATACTCAAACCTAAGGCCTTTAATAAAGGGCTTCTTCTTTACTATTTCAGGTTCCCATTAGTCTTTGACCTTAAGTTGAAAACCATCTTCCAGTGAGTGAATATGTGCTGCCATCTGTGATGTCAATCCTGGAAACTGTGACAGGTCTTAGAAATGCAGAGATATACCTGGTGTCTTCCTGTTAAGAGCCACAAAAAGAAAAGTCCCTAAACCAGTAAGTGACAAAATGTGAGAGACCACCATAGAGACCTCTAGGGACATGTTACAGAATCTGAAGTCATTCAGTACCACTGCAGCACAGGCTGTAACAGCAATAGCTTAGTAGAAGTGAACTTAGAAAAGTCAGCAGATTGAGAGGCTAAAGCAGAAGGACTTTAAGTTCAAGCTCTGCCTGGGCAACTTAGTGACTTAGTTCCCCTGTCTCTAAAAACGGAGGAGGCCAGGAACTCAGCTAAGTATAAAGGTCCTGGGATCAATCCCCCATACCACCAAAAAAATTTTTGAAAGGTCAACATACAAGAAGGCTTGCAGGATTTTGAATGCCAGACTAAACAGCTTTGGCTTAATCCCTAAAACGATAGATACAAACTGATTGTATATGGAAGGGAAAGGGGAGCAAGGGGGAGAGTTTGTTTTGAGTGTTTGTTTGCAGTGCTGAGGATCAAACCTGGTGTTTCTAGAGCCTTGGGCATGTGAGGCAAATGCTGTCCCGCTGTGCTCTATCCCCAACCCAAGAGCTTCAAGCAAAGGTTCTGATTCTAGATGTGCATAGATGCCCCTGCTGATCATTATCATTATCAACCTTCAATTCTATGTAATCAAATCCAAGGGGAGAAATAAGGCCTCTATGTTTTAATTCAGTCATTCATTTACCCCACAAGTGTTATTAAAATATATATATATGTATATATATATCTCCCCAGGAACTATTTTAGGAAATAACGTACAGTAAAAGTAAATCAGGATCTTTGTCTGGATCCCAAGTTTGTTCTCCATAGATGATAAAATAGCAAAGGTAGAAACATGACAGCAGGTGGAAAGATACCGGAGGAAAAGTAAAGTGGGAACAGAGCTGGGAGGTAAAGGGATACATTAAAAACAATTCCATCATTTCAGAAAAGACCCCTCTAAAAAGGTGATTCACAAGCAGAGCCCAGAAGGAATGGGCGTTGGTCAGGGAAATGTGGAAGAAATGCACCAGGGGAGGAGACAGCAATGACAAAACAGGTGACATGAGCCTATGCTCAGAGTATCTGAGGGCAGAATTAGGCCAGTGTGAAAGAAAAGAACCAGCCAGAGATATGGGGAGAGACCAAGAGCTAGACCATGCAAATCCACACAGATACCACGAAAGACTTCAGGTTTTACCGTAAGTTAAATTCCCCTTCTATTTTTAAGCTGCCTGGTTTTTCCTTAACACCTTCTATCTTATTAGTCTGCAAATTCTTTCCTTTTTCCAAGTTATAAACACATTTGGAGAGTCAGATTTCATCTTATTGTATTTCTTGTACATACAATATATTGCTATATGAATGAGATGGCAAGCTAAGATTCCTAGTAGGATACAAGACATAAACTCAAATCCTATTCATCAACAGAGTATTACATGGCTATTAAAAGCAATAACTTCTGAAGTTATGAAATAATAATTACAGTACAATCTTAAGGAAATAATTGCAGTAATAAATTATAAATATACTGTTCACAAAAACTTTAGGATAATATATTTTAACAAATTTTAATTTTATATTGAAAAGGAATATATAAAAAAGAAGAGAGTTGTAAAATAATCAACCATTTTTTATTTATGAACTTATTTCATGGAATACTATTAGATAAATATATAAAAATTACAACTATAATTTAATTTTTTTAATACTAAATTCTACATGTCAAATTGCTTCCATGGAAAAAGTCAAATGTGGAGTATGCCATGATTTCAGACTTTATGAACATTAAATGAGAAGGCACAAGGAAACCTACCTCTGGAATATATCTATATAAAGTCACCTACTAGGTGAGGAAAGGTCATACTAGACTTACAAACACCCCAATAATGCATAGTGGTCTTCCTGTGCTATGGAGACTCCCTTTTCCTCTTTTCCACTAATCTCACCCAAGGACCTCTATAATTCTTCCCAACTGCCAATCTTCCCACTTCCTGTGAGAAAAAAAGCCAGGCTAATAATCCCTTTCTCCCAGACTATGTCCCTGTCTCTGGCAATGAAGGAACAGACAGTAATCTAAGATGGAAGAAAGTCTCTGTTGCCCAATATTGGATAATGGGGGTAGGGAGAACGGACTGGTTACCTCCCAAAACTAAAACAGCAGCAGATAAAGATGAGATTCAAGACACCCTCATCTTACCAGAGTGGGGAAAAAACTGCTTAGGTCTTCTGGTTTGTATCTAGATGTCTCCCCCCAAAGCCTCAAATGCTACAGGCAAGGCTTTTCAGAGGTGGCTGGATCTAAGGTGTATGAACATGGATTAAGGGTATTTGATAACTGAATCGGTTTAGCATAGTTTTGGGTGTGGATAATGGGCAGGCCCACCCTGGGTGTGGTGTGGCCTAGATGGAATTTAAAGGAAGATTTGCTGTTGCTGCAGCTGCTGCTTGCTGCCTCTCCCTAATCCTGCCATGGACTCTTTCTCCTCTGCAGTGCTGCCTGCCATGTTGCCTTTCCCTGGAGTCAGCCAACTATGGACTGAAACCTCTACAAACTATGATTCTGTCTTGGTCACTTTTTTCTCATTGCTGAGACAAAATACCTGACACCCAAAATCTAGGAAGGAAAGGTTTACTTAGCTCACTGTTTGTGGAGGTCTCAGTCTACAGTCAGCTGGCTCCAAAGCAGGGTGGCATGGTACTGGGGCACCACTTCAAGGCAGCAGAAGACAGCAAAATAGTAAGAGCAAAAAGGGTGGGGGAAGAACAAGCCTCTTTTTCTCCCCTATATTATATACAGGCAACCACCCCCCACCCTTGTTTCCAAGGCTAGTGTGGCACTCATAAAATCTCCTTGCCCTCTTCTTGCTAAGGATGAGGATGTTTACAAAGTAAGGATCCTGGCTCCCTGCTGAGTCTCTTAAACTTCTACACTTCTCAAGTTGATACAATGTACCAACCATAACAGATACAAACTAAATCCATCCTCCTTGACTTTGCATCAAGTATTTTATCTCAGCATTGAGAAAAAGACAGGTCTATAACACTATTGGCTCTGAACCATAGTTAAGCTGCATAATACATTAAGTAGGATTCATAAATTGATATTAGGATATAATCACCCTTTATAGCATTGATTCTTGGACAAGCAGAAAGACAAGAATACTGTTCAGAGGTATCAACTTAGAAAAGGTTTAGGATAAAGCATACTATCTTGACATAATTCATCAGTCAAATGTGAAAAACAATTTCTGTCTTCATCCCAAAAAAATTGAAATTATACTTCTACTGCCTTTATCTGCTCAATTTTTTTTTCCTCATCTTACTACAGAATTCACATGTTATCTACCTTGGTCTCCCCTCCATCCCACTGGAATGTAAGCACCACAAGGAGAGATAAAACTTTATCAGCTTTGTTTATATACCTCCCACCCAGTGGCTAGAAGAGCACACAGCACATCATAGGCCCCAATGAAATATTTTGTAAATTAATGAATAAAGGAAGAAAGGAAGGAAGGAAGGAAGGAAGGAAGGAAGAAATGCAAATCAGCCACCCTTGCTGAGAGCTGACCAAGAGTATCTGAGTTATACCTCAGCTCTCCTGGACTGTTTCCTTGAGCAAGTCATTAAACCTCCATAAATCTGTGAAACACTGGGAACAGTTGTAAAATCAAATCAATGCACACACTAGGGGGCCCATGGCCTGCAAGGGGGAAGCTCAAGTGAATTAAAAGCTTCAATCACTTTAACAATCATAGCTTTATTACATCAAAATTGTAAAACTAACATCAGACATGTTACATGAACCCAAAGTAACTTTAAAGTCTGGTTAGGACGTATTCTGTGAAAAAACTGGGTGTGGTAGTGTACCCCTTTAATCCCAGCACTCAGGAGACTGAGGCAGGAGAATCATTGCAAGTTCCAGGGCAGCCTGGGCTAAGTGAGCTCAAGGCCAGCCTGAACTGCATAGTGTGACCCTGTCTCAAAAAGATAAAAAAAAAAAAAAAAAAAAGAAAAGAAAAAGGAAAGAAATATATTGTGTACTGATACAGAGAAGCAAATTTGA